AATCCTTACTATTACCCCCCTTTCCCCTATAAATCCTTACTATTAACCCCTACAATGCCTACCCCTATAAATCCTTACTATTACTCCCTTTCCTCTATAAATCCTTACTATTACCCCCCTTTCCCCTATAAATCCTTACTATTAACCCCTACAATGCCTACCCCTATAAATCCTTACTATTACTCCCTTTCCCCTATAAATCCTTACTATTACTCCCTTTCCCCTATAAATCCTTACTATTACCCGACCTTTCCCCTATAAATCCTTACTATTTTGTGATTTTCTCTTAGGTTTTCCCTGCAATCTTTTTTTATATTTGAGAATATAGCCTGATTGAATAAAATGACATAGATTACAAGAGTCCAAATATTTATACTCTAGAATATGAAGGGCCCCATTAGCACCCAAAATTTGAAAATTAACTCAAGGGTAATTAACAGGGTTCAGTTTAGATTGAAAAATAGTGGCAAATCGAGTTAAATTTTGATTCACACCTCATAGAAATTTGGTAGCAATTCAAAATGTATGATTGATCTTGCCAAGGATGTTAATACCAACATAAAGCTAACTGTCTATAACATAATATGTCTTTATTTCAAGCATTTTCATTAAATAGGTTTTGATAAATCTCATATCTCCAAAAACTTATTCCTCAAACAAAACGAAACAGGCCATTTTACAACCTTTACAATCCCTTTAATGAAATATACATCTCTTGATATCTAATCTACTAGCAACTTTTGAGAGATGCAAATACATTTTCTTTAACAAAGTTTCTTGAATAATTTTCAGATGTATACCGTTATAAGGGAATTCATATTGGATATAGACCTTCATATATATGGTTATTACATCCTAATAGGTAAGATTATTTATTTGGTTGTATCTATGCTGTGCTGTATCTATGCCGTGCTGTGGTGTATCTATGCTGTGCTGTGGTGTATCTATGCTGTATTGTGGTGTTTCTATGCTGTGCTGTGGTGTATCTATGAATCATCAGAAGGGGGCTGAAAAATTATAAAAATTCTTCCTAGACATTTTGTAATCCTGTTCTTGGGATTTTCAAGTATTTCAATTATAACATCACCACCAACAGAAACCTCCATTTTGAAGTGTTTATTCATGTGACACCCCACATGATATTCTTATCCGGATAACTTCTTGTTTGGTTATGCACTGTCAGTTATCTGAATCATATCAAGGGGAAATCCACCTATGGAGGTAGACTTCATTATTAGGATAACTTTTTGTAATAACAAAATAAGTTTATTTACCAGTGCGAAAGCAACTGGAAGTTATTGGGATAGAACTGAATTACTTTTGCCAAAGGGGTATAACTACATTGAAATTGGATACTTTTGGCAATTTATACTGTTATCAGCTGGATTATTTCTACATGAAAATTGACAAACTGCATGTTATATCTCATTCTGCAAAGCGATATGGATATAAGTATCTGAGATTCTATCAACTAGTAAAGAAACTATTTAGCTGACTTTGTTTGTTTTAGGTTATATGTGGGCGATACTGATTATAAGATACTGTTGGAAGCTGTTAATGGATGTATTAAGTTAAAATTATTAGATGAAAGAATGAGATTTTTAAATGATAATATTGGAAACTATATAGAAATCCATGATGGTATGTATTCATATATATTTTATATACCGGTAACCACTATTTTACTCAAGACTTTGAAAACATCAAATCATATATGTATATGTTATATGAAGTGGCAGCTCTAGATGCATATAGAAAATAAACAAAACATGGATGGAGGCAAAAGGAGAGAAAATTTGTTTAGCTTAGCTAATCAGTAATAGTGTTCACAGCTCACCATCCAATTTTGAGTCTTCAAATCCATGTTACTCGTCTTATTTTGAGACTCTGCCATATAGAAGAGCCATATATAGAAATATCAAAAAAAAATTCTGAGTTTGAGATATTTTTGAAGGAACTATTCGTTCATTTCTAGTATTTCTGTAGACTATTTACATATAATAAAGACTCAAATCAACCTCCCAAAATGGCGAATCTGTCCTTTAAATTGAACATGTGTGCCTGGCTCATATTTTTGTTGAACGTGATTCTATTTATAGTATGAAATCTATATTTAAGCCCTTTAATTTCAATATTTCTGCTAGAGGAACTTGCCCCTGACTCCTCAAGAATGGTTGTTTCATGCCTTTGTCATTTTTGTAAAATGCCCCACTGGAATGTTTGCTTACTTTTCCTATATGTCTGTTTTCACATGACTTCCAGCCTCTTGAGACAAGGGATACAAATAGGGTGCAGACTGACTCAATGGGGCCGTCAAGGCTGAATTCAAAAGACAGCAACTTAGTGGAGGTGTCTTGCACCAAGCCTCTCATGGAGCTTCTGGAAGGGTTCTCCCAAGAAATTTTTGAAAAATTAGATCGATTTTTTTGACACATATTTTGGGACAAAAAAGCATAAAAATCATAAGCATAAATTTATTAAAAATAAAGTGGGGGTACAATTGAGGGTGCAAGCCATTTTTCTAGGGGCCCCCTGTACCCCTACTGGCATGGCCACTGTTCTCACAGGTTTTCCATACTCTATCTAAAAGATTTTTGTATAGAGAGTAAATAAAACTATGACAATTTATATATTTAAGGAGACACTGAAAAAGCTCAAGATTTAGTCAATGGTTGTGATGAAAAACGTAATGGCTCTGTTATCTCTGGAACCAAACCCTATATGTTTATTAAAATAAAGGACATAATGAATTCTCATCCACAGGGACCAATGTCAATTCAGCTCTACCCTAAATTACTAGAAATAACATCCACTGGTATGAGGCTTGAATTTTAATATACCCGCAAGAAGATATGATGCTGCTGTCCTCCCTGTCTGTTATACCCATCTGTCCTCCCTGTGTACTATACCCATCTGTCCTCCCTGTCTGTTATACCCATCTGTCCTCCCTGTCAGCTATACCCATCTGTCCTCCCTGTCTGTTATACCCATCTGTCCTCCCTGTCAGTTATACCCATATGTCCTGCCTGTCAGTTATACATATCTGTCCTCCCTGTCAGTTATACCCATCTGTCCTCCGTGTCAGTTATACCCATCTGTCCTCCCTGTCTGTCTAACATTTGGTTTGTTCTATTTATAGAACTATAGGAGCTAGAAACTTCATCTGAGGAGGGGGGACAGGGAGGACCCCTGTCAGTTATACCCATTTGTCCTCCCTGTCAGTTATACCCATCTGTCCTCCCTGTCTGTTATACCCATCTGTCCTCCCTGTCAGTTATACCCATATGTCCTGCCTGTCAGTTATACATATCTGTCCTCCCTGTCAGTTATACCCATCTGTCCTCCGTGTCTATTATACCCATCTGTCCTCCCTGTCGGTCTAACAT